AATATTAAAGAAACGATCATGGTGTCTCACGCCTGTAATCCCAGAACTTTTGGGAGGCTGAGGCAGGTGGATCAACTGAGGTCAGGAGTTTGAGACCAACCTGGCCAACATGGTGAAACTCCATCTCTACTAAAAATACAAAATTACCCAGGCGTGGTGGCAGGCCCCTGTAGTCCCAGCTACTCAGGAGGCTGAGGCAGGAGAATCACTTGAACCCAGGAGGCAGAAGTTGCAGTGAGCTGAGAGATTGCGCCATTGCACTCCAGCCTGAGCAACAAGAGCAAAACTCCATCTCAAAAAAAAAGAAAAAAGAAAAAAGAAAACATCACCAAGAAATTGTATTTTGAACTGTATATAATGTATAATGCTGACTTGTATTACATAAAGCAACAATTAGTAAAAGGATAGACATAAATTTATTAATATGTTGAGCATTTTTATATCAGCTATCTCAGTAATTAATAGAAACAACCGATATAAAATGGCTAAAGTTCTAGTAAACTGTCACGCCAAGATTGATAATTCTGGTCTAATAAATACAAATATAAGATGTCTATATTTAGTACAACTGAATATTTACAGAACTATCAATATAGATGACTAAAAAGTATCTTCAATTCACATAGAGTGACATAATACACAGGATGCAACCAAGACATGAATCAATAAGAGATTCATGGAAAATATGAAAAGAAGTGTTTGGAAATTAAGTTACAAAATGCTGGATAACTCATGCATCATAAAATTAAAGATAGTTAAAAATGTAACTTTTTTCAAATAATGGTACTTCCATATATTCTTTAGAGATGTGTTTAATAAAATTTTATAGGGACGGTTATAGCTTTAAATACAGACACTACAAGTAAAAAATAACCATTAACAATAATAAATTTATCTCAAAAATACTGAAAATAATCCACAGCAAAGAAAAGCACACTAAGAGAATGATTTCATTCCTATGAATTTCAATATCAAACAAAAGTATATTAGTGATACTCAAATAAGTTGTAAAATTATTAATGAAAAAAAATTAAGCAAAGTAAAATTCTGGTAAGTTTCCTCTAAAGTGTAAGATGGAATTTGCAATCTGAGTTTCATTTTAAAATTCTGAAATTACTGATTCTACTTTTTATTATCTGGGGTGTGGGTATTAGTATTTATTACATTTATCTTTTTATCTATTTTAAATGTGTATAACAAGATAAAATGGACAAATTGCCAGTGTTCAGCTTGATGAATATTTTCATATCAACATCTGTATAACCCCTAACCATACAAAGATGCAGAAAATTCTCAACAGCCCTGAAAAGAGGTAGCCATTATTCTGTCCTTTATCACCATGTATAAGATTTGCCTGTTTTTCTTTTTGGACTTATCTACAGAACTCTACAGTATGTGTCTTACATATTATCGTCAATGTCTTTTCCTGTGAGATTCACTGGTGCTGCTGCATGAACTAGTAGTGGTGGTGGGGGGGTTTGTCCTCTTATTTTTATATTTTTTTGTGAAGTAGTAGTTTTAATTGCTGTGTTTTCTTCCATTTTATGACTACAGTTGATCCTTGAATGACACAAGTTTGAACTGTGTGGGTTCACTCATACATAAATTTTTTTCAACAGACATACAGGACAAATTTTTTGAGACAAAAAATTGGGAAAAAAATAACAGATGAACCATGTAACCTAGAAATATGGAAAAAATTAAGAAAAGCTACATGTCATGATGTATAAAATATATGTAGATACTGGTCTTTTATCACTTACTACCACAAACTATATACAAATCTATTTTTTTCTTTCTTATGTTTATTTTAGGTTCTGTGTGTATATGTGCAGGTTTGTTTCATAGGTTGATTGTATGTCACAGGGGTTTGGTGTACACATTATTTTGTCACCAAGGTAATGAACATACCAGTAGGTAGTTTTTCAATACTGATCCTCTCCCACCCTCCACCTTCAAGTAGGCCTTAGTGATTACTATTTCCTTCTTAGTGTACATGTGTACTCAATATTTAGTCCATGTGTACTCTCATTTATAAGTGAGAACATGCAGTATTTGCTTTTCTGTTCCTGCATTAATTTGTTTTGGGTAATGACCTCCAGCTACATCCATGTTGCTGGAAAGGACATGACTTTTTTTATGGCTGCATGGTATTCCACGATGTATATGTACTTCATTTTCTTTACCTATGCCACTGTTGATGGGCATCTAGGTTGATCCATGTCTTTGCTATTGTGAATAGTGCTGCAATGAATACACACGTATGTGTTTCTTTTTGGTAGAATTATTTACATATTTTTGGGTATATACCTAGTAATATATACTGGGTCAAGTGGAAAGTCTGTTTTTGTTTTGTTTTGTTTTGAGACAGAGTTTTGTTCTTGTTGCCCAAGCTGGAGTGCACTGGTGCAATCTCAGTTCACTGCAACCTCTGCCTCCTGGGTTTAAGTGATTCTCCTGCCTCAGCCTCCTGAGTAGCTGGGATTATAGGCACATGCCACCACACCTGGCTAATTTTTTTTGTGTTTTTAGTAGAAACAGGGTTTCACCATGTTAGCCAGGCTGGTCTCGAACTCTTGGCTGTAGGTGACCCGCCTGCCTTGACCTCCCAGAGTGCAGGAATTAAAAGGCGTTAGCCACCGCACCTGGCCAGAAAGTGTTTTAAGCTCTTTGAGAAACCTCCAAACTGCTTTCCACAATAGTTAAACTAATTTACTTTCCCAGCAGCAGTGTATAAGCATTCCTTTCTCTTAACAACCTCACCAACATCTATTATTTTCTAACTTTTTAATAGTTTTAAATAGTTTAATAGTGTTTTCTAACTTTTTAACATTTTGACTGGTGTGAGATGGTATTTCATTGTTGTTTTGATTTGCATTTCTCTAATTATTATTGGTGTTAACCATTTTTTCATTTGCCTGTTGGCTGCATGTATGTCCTCTTTTGAAAAATGTTTGTTCATGTCCTTTGCCCATTTTTAATGGAGTTGTTTTTTGCTTTAATTTGTTTAACTTCCTTACAGATTATGGTAGACCATTGTCAGAGGTGCGGTTTGCAGATTTTTCCTCCCATTGAGTAGGTTGTTTGCTTGTTGATAGTTTACTTGCTGTGTAGAAGCTCCTTAGTTTAGTTATGTCTCATTTGTTTGTTTTTCTTTTGTTGCAATTGCTTTTGGAGTCTTCATCATAAAATCATTACCAGGGCCTATATTCAGAATGTATTTTCCTAGGTTTTATGCTAAGGTTTTTATAGTTTCAGGTTTTACATTTAAGTCTTTAAACCATCTTGAGTTGAATTTTGTACATTGTGAAAGCAAAAGGATCCAGATGCAATCTTCTGCATATGGCTAGTCAGTTATCCCAGCAGCATTTATTGAATAGAGAGTCCTTTCCCCATTGTTTGATTTTACTTTGTTGAAAATCAGAAGATTATGGGTATACAGCCTTATTTCTGAGTTCTCTATTCTGTTCCATTGGTCTATGGGTCTGGTTTTTGTTTGTTTTTTACACCTGCATGGTATTTTGGTGACTGTAGCTTTCTACTACAGTTTGAAGCTGGGTAACGTGATGCCTTCAGCTTTGTTCTTTTTGCTTAGATTGCTTAGAGCCCATTAGGCTTTTTTTAGGTCATATGAATTTTAGACTAGTTTTTTATAATTCTGTAAAAATATTGCTGCAATTCATCAATCAGGTCTCAAGAAACAACTATTAGTGAAAGGAGGAAGAATCTGGGTGCAGCAGAAGTCACCCAGCCAGGAGAGGCCAGACCACTGAAATCTGTTGAATATTCTGCCAGACTCCTGACTCCCAAATCCTTCATTGCAAAGTTTTAGGGCAGTTAACTATTGGGACTGCTTAGAGGGAGGAGGAAGTGATGCATACTGCCCAGCCATGGTACTCATATCCCATACTCTAGGAAACCAAGGAAAGGAATCATGCCACAATACAACTGTTGGACAGAGACAGCTAGTCCATGAGGAAAAAACGAGGCACAAAACACAGCTCAGGAAATTAGAAATTAAACTCAAGCCCTGGTATTCATATCCTTATTAAGTCCCACCAGTTGAGTTTTGGCTAGACCCTAGAACTCTTTTATAATGAGCAGAATACAGCAAAAGTGATAGGAAGTCACTTCTGAGAATAGATTACAAAAATACCAGCTTCCTCTTGGATGCTGTCTCTTGTTCATTCTCATGAAAACCAAATGTCTGATAGTGACTGCCTATGGTGGAGACAATAGGGCAAGAATCTCGGGGAGGCTTCCTGCCAATTGCCAACAAGGAACTAACTAATTCACTCCAACAGCTTCCTCCTCATATGTGTAAGCTGGTTCACTTATCATACTGTCAGTTCATATTACTCCATGGTATCTGCCTCCACCCTCAACTTTAAGTCTCAGCTTTGCTGGCACAAGGAACCTACTGAATGTAATCTATCAAACTGAGGTGTGTGTGTGGGTGTGTCTGTGTGTGATGGGAGTCTTGCTCTGTCACCTAGACTGGAGTGCAGTGGCGCAATCTCGGCTCACTACAACCTCTGCCTCCTGGGTAAAAGCGATTCTCTTTCCTCAGCCCCCTGAGTAGTGGAACTACAGGCGCTGGCCACGATGCAGGGTACATTTTGTATTTTTTTTTATAAGTAGAGATGGTGTTTCACCATGTTGGTCAGGCTGGTCTCAAACTCCTGACCTCAGATGATCTGCCCACCTTGGTCTCCCAAGGTGTTGGGATTACAGGCGTGAGCCACCACTCCTGGCCAATATGTCAAATTGTTGCAGGAATTTTCCTCAGTTCAGCTAAAGACAGGGTCCTTGCACGTCCCACCGTCAAAAAAAAATTTAGGCTCAGACTGTTTGAAGGGTGAGTAAATCAGGGTTTTATGGGGTGAAAAGAAAGAAAAGGGGGAAACAGGAACTCTCCACAAGGCCAAAGTCCCTTGCTAAAGCGCTTCCCCTCTCCCCTGCCACACCTTCCCTACCACCCCCCACATCCCCTACCCGTTTGAATCCCAGGTTCCACACAAGAAGAGGAGGGGCCAGGCTCCTCCTCGCTGCAAATGGCGAACTTCCCAAGGCTTCACACCAGTGGGCAGGCTGGTTGGTGGTTTTCGAGGGACCCCCCTCCCACCTGGCTGTCTCAAAATCACCTGAATGCCCTGCTGCAAATTTTCAGAAGAAAGGCCTAGCTCCTTAGGCTGTCACTCCAGGCCTGACTTCTGCCCCACTATTTTCTGTTCTCACAGGTATCATGGAAACCTTGAACATTCTCAACTCAGTCTCACCTCCAAGTACTCACACACTCCTGTTCCCCTGACTAGCACACCCTTCCTAGCAGGTTAACCCAGTTGTTGTCAATAATGAGAACTTACCCTTTCGTGTGGGGTCTGGATCCTGGGCCAGAAATGAGTCCATACAAGGACTCTGATACAAAGAAAAGAGAGAAAGAGTAAAGTCTTAGGACACCTCCGCCTGCCACAAAGAGGGCAGAGACCAAGAAAATCTGAGAGGGTGAGACCCCTGGTTCACCTCCATTCACCTGCACTGAGTTGATCAGTACCAACCTGGCCACCACATGGTACCCAACATGAAGAGCCAGTCGTGAAAGGCAGGCATCAAGGAGAGTCCCAGAGACTCAGCCTAGCCCTACCTTGTGTGGGGTCACTTCAGGGTGCTTGTTGCCTTCTGAGCATCATTACAAAGTAGTGCAAAATACTTACAGGGCTCAGGCCACCGCTTGGGGGGCTATGGCAACGCAGCGCGGGTGCGGAACCATGCAGGCCTGGAGCACGCATGTTCCTGACCGGTGCACAGCAAACCCAAGGCACCAGGCCACCTGAGCCAGTCTGGGATGCCGAATCTCAGGGAGACAGAGGCAGAGCTGGGGCTCTCGATCCTTCTCTAGCGTCCCAGAGAAGGGACCTTGGGGTAGCTCTCTGGACCACGTGGGCAGAGTGGAAAACACAACCACAGAAATTTCTTTCCGCCGGGAAACCGGAAGCCCCACCCTAACACCACAGGAAACGACCCTCTCCTGAGCTATCATTGGCTCAGCCCTCGGTGCGAAAGCGCAAGGAATGGAATTCTGGGTAATGTCGTTTGTGCCCCATAAGTGCCCGCGCACTTGTGCCTGTTGGGTTCTCCGTGGGTAAACTTAAGCGGCGCCGCTAGGACATATGGAGAAATAACGTTCCAGGGTTCCAGCCACAGGAATCGAACTTCACGTCCCTCAAAGAAGAGTACTCACATTTCTGTCGGTATTGGAGGCACAGAAGACTCTCTTTTCCTGTGTGGCCCTGGGCACACTCCTTCACCTCTCCGGGAACTGGGGACCAAGACTTAAAATGAAAAATAAATTCAGTCTTTTGCTCCAGGAGCTGCCGGGCAGTAACATTAATAAACGGACCTTTATTCAGTGGTTACAAAGTTGTGGTCCCTAGACCAGTAGCATCTTCATAACCTGCCAACGTGATGGAGACTTAGGCTCTGTCGCCCGACACAGGCCTACTGAATCAGGAACTCTAGGGATGGGACGCAGCATCCATGAGTCTACCATGACTAGAATGGGAAATACTACTTTGCTCCTCATAGGAATTTGCGTAAAAAGTATTTATTACATTGTATTCAGTTTTGAAAAGAACTGTTATTATTGTCATTAGCATTAACATCAAAATGCTTTCACATATACTCTGTGAGAGGCTAAACCTCAGCAGGATCCTTGGCACTTATCAAAACATAAAATATAATGACACCCTAACTCAGCAGCTAGCCTCATAGGTATGATTAAAGGTTTTACATGAATGCACATATTTGGCTTATTTCTTAAACAGTTCAGAAAAAGTGTTCCTAAAACTATAGGTAGGCATGCTGCTCAAAAGACACGTTATTACAGGCCACAAGATTCAAATTTTAGGACTATAGTCCCAGTTACTCAGGAGGCTGAGACAGGAGAATAGCTTCAGTCTAGGAGTTCCAAGCTGCTATAAGCTATGATTCTACCACTGTACTCTAGCCTGAGTGACAGAGCGAGACCCTGTCTCTAAAACGAAAATTTTAAGAAGATTCAGATTTTGGACATAGCAGGACGAATTGCCCTCAGGCTTAAGTGGAGAGTAGAATTCATCCAGTTTCAAGTTTGTGACTTTAGAAACACTTCCTCATTCATCTTTAATTCACAGTATCCAAAACTTGCTCTTGCTCTCCCTTCTGACCCTCAAGGCCGGTGGACTCAATCACAAACCTGATCATGAGAATGTCCTGCCTGAAACTAAGAGACATAAGGTCATGTCCTGTCCTCATCAAAACACCATCACCACTGGGCACAGTAGCTCACGCCTGTAATCCCAGCACTTTGAGAGGCTGAGGTGGGTAGATCACCTGAGGTCAGGAGTTCAAGGCCAGCCTGGCCAACATGGTGAAACCCCGTGTCTACTAAAAATACAAAAATTAGCAGGACGTGGTGGCGGGCACCTGTAATACCAGATATTTGGGAGGCTGAGGCAGGAGAATAGCTTGAACACAGAAGGTGGAGGTTGCAGTGAGCTGAGATTATGCCATTGCATTCCAGCTTGGGCAACAAGAGCAAAAGTCTTTCAAAAAGGGGGGGGGGCAGGGAGGGAGAAAGGAAGGAAAGAAAGTGAGAAAGACAGAAAAACAGAAGGAAAGAAAGCCACTATCACCATCATCCCATCACCTGAACCTGTAGCTCCCAAGGGACCGCTAAATTTTGGGAAGGCATGAAAACTGGAACCACTGAGGACGTCTCTAGAATAGTGCACAAATGAAAACACAATTAAGACACAATTTCACAATCACTTCTGCCCTTATTCCATTGTCCATAACTCATTCACATGGCCCCAAATTAACTGTAGGGAAAGCTGGAACATGCTTTCCTCGAAGGTGTTCAGAAACAAACAAAGGAAAATGTGATTAGTTAGCATCTAGCTAGTTCATGGCACAATCCATCCATTTGTTCACCAGATATAGATCTTATTTCTACTATGCATTCTATCCTGTCACTCCTTTATTATTCCAACAACTCAATACCATCAAATCACTGAGCCCATAGCACTGTTACAATCTCTAGGGTTCAATCCCCATTCTCCACAAAAAGGGAAAAAAGGCAAAAAAAAAAAAAAAAAAAAAAAAAAAGAAGAAGAATATTTAAACTTAGAGACAATTCAAGACTACACCTTAGATACTCCTCTAGACCTGTCAAACACACACACACACACACACACACACACACACACACACACACGGAATGAAATATACAGAAACAATACAAAATTTGAACTTCTTTTACAGTAAGTGAAAACATAGGGAGTGGGGGTATAGATTTAGGGAAGACAACCATACATCGGGCATATAATTTTATATACTGTAAATATTAATTTTGCAAAGAGAATGTTATACAGAGCCAGGTGGGAGCTAGCATGGAACTCATGGGGAGACACGGGCTGCCACAATTTAGGAAGATTAACAGAAAACTTCATCTGACATTCCATTAATCAGCGAGAATAAATCTTTCCCCAAAAATGGCAATGACAAGGCCAGAAAATACTGGGCATCTGAGAAACTGGATCTTCCAGAGATTTTAGTTCACTGAGGATGGGAAGAGGTCTGTGGGGTGTGAAGATGGGGATCAAGGTTTTTCCCAGAACTTCCAAACAGCCTGGGTCAGCTCAGAAAATGCTGGACTAATGTTCAATCTAGGTTTAGAGCTTTGCATGGTGAGTCCCACAGAATGGAATAAAAAAGAGAAAGAAGACATTTCAGAAAAGGAGTATGAAGTAATAATCTACAGAAGTGCGAGAGGAAATAATGTGAAAATTGGGTGTTCATTAATAGCATGTGAAAACAGAACTTCTTACTTTTGATATTCTATGGCAGTAAACTGTGAGATGATTACTGGATTACAGGGAGTTTATATGAAATATGAACTCAGGATGCACAGGAATGAAAGTGATGCAGTGAGACAGAAGAGGGGGTGCAATAAAACTTTGTTAGTGGTCAGACATGGTGCCAGCGGTCATTTGATAAGACTTGTGGGAAGATGGGTTGTACAGAACAAGACATCAACAGTGTTAGCTACAGACCCTAATCCATTTGTGCCTACATTGTGATTCAGTCTTCAAGGTAATGACCAGCCAGTGTTGGTATATCAAGAAGTCAAAACACTCTGTTATAATGGTTTCAGCAAAGGCTCTGTTGGCAGGGAAGTCAATGCCACATCCAGACAAATCATCTGTGTCATTAAGTAAGAATCTATATACTGTCTGGGAGGAAAAATGTCTTAAGCAAACATGTCACCGAGGGGCAGGTTGTTCTCCTGTAGGGATTATAGCATATACCATCTTAGTGTTGGTCTTCATAAATAGTAGGTAAAGAAAGGAGCTATTTTAATTGTGGTGAGCAGGATGCCATGTTGTTGGGCCTATTTAAAACCTCCATTCCTAACACCTTGGTGACTATGTTTATATCCCTAGAGTACAAGGATTGGGAAGGCTGAGGAGTGAGCCTGGTTAACTTTAACTGCTAGGTTCTCCTCCCCCCTATTCTGCAGTGGGTTTCTTTTTATAGGCACTGATGTGGGACATAAGTGTCCACTCACTTTGCCCACTCCAATAATTTCGTGCCCTTGTACTGTATGTACTTGTCACTGATCTGCCATTCTTCTGAACAATGAGACAAGCCATTTCCCAGAAAAGTACACATATATCTTTACTTCAGGTCACTTCTTCGAACACAAAGGTAATGCCCACTTGTACTGGTCCAACTTCAGGCCATGGAGAGGATTTCTCTACATCCCTGGCCACATCAGAACCACTCAAGGCAGCATGTGATGTATCAATTATTTGTAGCTTAATCCAAATATTAAGATAATCCATTTATAAATAAAGTTGGGGTTTTTCCTATTTTTCAGCCAACCAAAAGTATAAGTCTGATTCCATTTTTTTTTTTAGAAGACAGAGTCTCACTCTGTTGCCCAGGGTGGGGTGCAGTGGCACGATCTCAGCTCACTGCAACCTCTGTCTCCAGGGTTCAAGTTATTCTCGTACCTCAGCCTCCTGAGTGGCTGAGATTACAGGCATGCACCACCATGACCAGCTAATATATATATATTTTTTGAGACGGAGTTTCGCTCTCGTTACCCAGGCTGGAGTGCAATGGCGCGATCTCGGCTCACCGCAGCCTCCGTCTCCTGGGTTCAGGCAATTCTCCTGCCTCAGCCTCCTGAGTAGCTGGGATTACAGGCACGTGCCACCATGCCCAGCTGATTTTTTTTTTTTTTTGTATTTTTAGTAGAGACGGGGTTTCACCATGTTGACCAGGATGGTCTCGATCTCTTGACCTCGTGATCCACCTGCCTCGGCCTCCCAAAGTGCTGGGATTACAGGCGTGAGCCACCACGCCCGGCCCCGACCAGCTAATATTTTTAGTAGAGACAGGGTTGTGCTATATTGGCCAAGCTGGTCTTGAACTCCTGGCATGAAGCAGTCCTCCCTCCTCAGCCTCCCAAAGTGCTGGGATTACAGGTGTGAGCCACTGTGCCTGACCTCTGACTCCATTTTTGATAAGTGACATTTGATTATTGCCAGTTTAAAAGTCCCACCTCCCCTTTGGCCCACTTTTAAGCAACCTGATTTAAAAAGCCTACATGCTCCTTTCCTTTGCACAGCAGGAGAGCCAAACTCCCAGCCCCACCCAGTAGCAAGGCAGAAGGAGGCAGTCCAAGGCCATCCTAGTTGGCATTATACTTTCACTTCCAGGATAGTGTCATCCCAAGGCACGTAGTGGGAGCTGTTAGCACTCCACTCCCTGAAGCCCTCTCCAAAGACAGATCAAGAGCAAAGAAAACTTAAAAGAGATCTTCAAGGACATTTGGAACAATTAAAATAAAAGACCTGGCCGGGCGCGGTGGCTCAAGCCTGTAATCCCAGCACTTTGGGAGGCCGAGGCGGGTGGATCACGAGGTCAAGAGATCGAGACCATCCTGGTCAACATGGTGAAACCCCGTCTCTACTAAAAATACAAAAAATTAGCTGGGCACGGTGGCATGTGCCTGTAATCCCAGCTACTCAGGAGGCTGAGGCAGGAGAATTGCCTGAACCCAGGAGGCGGAGGTTGCAGTGAGCCGAGATCACACCATTGCACTCCAGCCTGGGTAACAAGAGCGAAACTCCGTCTCAAAAATAAATAAATAAATAAATAAAAGACCTAACTCAGTTTTTCTGAGTTACAAAAAGAAGGAAGAGAGTGGGAATAAACATATTTGAAGAAATAAAGGCCAAACATTTCCCAAATTTGGTAGAAGGCATATACCTACAGACTTGGA